TAGGGTCTCACTCTGTCACCCAGGCTAGGGTGCATTGGCACAGTCATAGCTCACTGCACCCTCGAACTCTCCTGGGCTCAAGCAATCCCCCTGCCTCAGCCTTCAGAGTAGCTGGGACTACAGGCGTGCACCACCATAACCAGCTAATTTTTTTCATTCTTTTAGAGACAGGGTCTCACTATGTTGCCCAGGCAGGTCTTGAACTGGCCTCAAGTGATCCTTCCACCTCAGTCTGCTGAGTCAGTATAGGTGTGACCAACCATTCCTGGCTCAAGGTTTTGTTTTTGGTTTTGTTTTTGTTTTTTTTAGAGAGAGGGTCCTGTTCTGTCGCCGGGGCTAGAGTACAGTGGTGTTGTCATAGCTCACTGCAGCCTTAAACTCCTGGGCTGAAGTGATCCTCCTGCCTTAGCCTCTTGAATAGCTGGGATTACAGGTGTTTGCCACCACACGCAGCTAATTTTTCTATTTTTATAGAGATGGGATCTCGCTCTTGCTCAGGCTCCTGGCCTCAAGCAGCCCTCCTGTCTCAGCCTCCCAAAGTGCTAGGATTACAGGCATGAGCCACCATGCCCTGCCAAGATTATTTTTAAATACAACTTTTTAATGTTTTTCTCCTCCCTAACATTTCCGAGAATAACCATAAGATCTGCTTTATATGAAAGAGATAGATATCACATCTTAAAGATTGTTCTTGAAGAAAAATATATAGCTTAGATTATTTTATTAAAATGTTTCTTTTTTGTGAGAAAATGCATGACTTTAATATTATTTTGTCAAATGTTGATCATTTTATGTGTTTTGTCTTTTTAAAATTCAGGCTTTCATTAAAGATAGAGCCAGGGACAAGCACACCTCGTTCTGCTGCTTCCAGGGAAGATTTAGTAGGTTAGTGCATACTTTTTCTCTTGTTGCCAAATAATAAATCAGATAACCTAATAAGAATATACTCCAGAGTAATAAAAACTTAGCACATCTTATATTGTGTGCAAAACTTTATTTTGGTATTAAAATCTGTCAGTACTTTCTAGGGCTTTTTTTGTTTTTTAATTAAAAAGTTGCATGTAGTTTGTCAGTAATGTACAAACAAATATGCTACCTAATCAAGGAAAATAGATGCAGAGATAGAAAATAATAGATACGTGTTTATGGATATTCTGTTCATTTTTTTTTTTATTAAGAATGCACTGTCCAAGGCAACAAGGGTTAATTACACTAGAAATTTCTATGGTCTAAGTGGTAAATTCTACTAATTTTAAGAATTATAGAAGTCAATTTTAGTGATTTAATTTTTTTTAAGTTTACTTTAATACTGGGCCA